ATTTGTGGTTCAGGTTCAGGTTCAGTTCAGGTTCATTGAACCTAAATTTGAACTGAACTGAACCTAGGAACCCTATATCTGGCTCTACTCGGCCCATGCGGAGGCATAGTTTTTTTTTTGTAAAATTCAGCAATCTTACCAACACTTTATTAGAATAAAATATTAAACTCACAGATAAAATATTAATTATGACTCAAGTCACCTTAAGCCTATCTAAATTACAAGTGTTCGCTAATCTAGTTGTTCTCAAGCAAATACCTATATTCAATTTGCTATTGTAAATGTTTATCTCCATATCAAAAAACCCTGCAAGTGAATTCTTCGATATTTCACTAAATGGTATTTACAGTCTATCAAGACTGCCATCTTTTCTAAATCTTCTTCGTGAGTAGAAGAATTCATAGTCTCCAACTGACTTATAAAAAAAAACTAATACTAAAAAGATAAAAAGAACGACATGAAAGGGGGAAATAAAGAAATTCACCCAACTCTTTCTGACAATCATTTTTACCACAAAAAAATCTAAAATTCTTAAAAAACTAGCATCTGTAAAGGTTGAAACAGACAGAGAAGAAGTCCTTAAGCTCTGTAACTCAGCAGTTGTTATTTAGAAGTAGTTTTTATACGCTACCTGCTAACTTTCTCAGAGTTTATCACTCACCGTGGGGGCTGGACACTTTCATTTAGAAATAGTTCTCATACGCTATTTGCCGACAAGCCCAGAGTTTATTACTTACCTAAAAAAATAAAGAAAGTATCTGCATCTTCCTATAGATTCAGTGTGTTAAGTAAAGAAAATACATACTTCTTTACTAAACAAAACAAAGTGGTTTCGTCTCTTTTCTCCACCTCCTCGCCACTCTTCCAAAATTTCCCACAAAAGTGGGCAAAACGGTTTACCCCCTCCAAAAGATTGGCATTGTTTGCTTCTCCCAAATCTGAACAGTTCCAGCAGACAGTGATCACGTGTCTGGTTTGTTTTGTTTATAGACTATGCTGCTTCACGTAATACTGAGGTTGGCCACTTATGTTGTTTAGGAGTCCAAATGACCTAGTCAAAAAATTTACTTGATAAGGCAAAGCTTTACAATAGAGATATACAAATATCATATTTGTTATATAATTTTTTCAGCCTTGCACAGGTTATAGTAGTGCTAAAAAAGACAGAATTTTTTGCTGTCCTTTTTGTTTTCTTTTCTTTGTAATTTTTTCTTTTATATTTCCTTTCATATTTGTTTTCTTTTTATATATTCTTCTTTGTTTTTCTTTTTTCTTTTTGTTTTTGTCATTTTTATTTTATCTGTGTTTTTTGTTTCTTACACCTATTTGTTTTATACCCCTTTGAAGAAGGAAAAATGATAAGAAAAAGGCAATCTTGATAAAGCTAGCAATAAGCTTTTAGTGATTTTTTCGGGGAGTCATCTAGCAAGTTAGATGCTAGAGATGAATGAATTATTGCTGCGGCAGATCGCATTTGGGCACCATTATGAGCAGCTGAGTGAGTCTTTATTGAAGAGTAGAAGGGTAGAAGGCATTGAGTTTATTGTAGGCTTTTTGTTCGGAAACCATGTATTTAGATTATGCACTCCTAATACAATAAAGGCAGGATTGCCAAATTAAAAAAAAAAACAAATTTCTAAAATTGAATTACAAATTTTGGCTATTAATTTTGAACACCCCTAACAAGAATACACCTACTCTTAAATATTTGTTAAATGATTTTTATTATTTGTTGCAGATTATCGTGAAATCAGATCATCGTGAAATTTGGGGGTCTTGATTTGAAAATATAAGTCCTACCAAAATCTACCTATACTCTTTTATTAATAATTCTAACCCTAAACTCTAACTTAACTATAAAAAAAAAGCTTACAAAAAAGCCCCAAAAAAATTTTAAAAATCGTACATAAAATAAATCTAAATTTTACAATGATCCGATTTCACGATAATCCGTGACATTATTTGAAGTAGGTACATTCTTGATAAGGTATCCAAAATTAATAGCCAAAACCTGTATTTTTTTGAAGTTTTTATACAGAATAAAAAGGTTAAGAATGCTGTATCAGGTGAAAAGTTATAGTGAAGTTGGTAATAATAAAGGTCTTGGAAAAGACAGTTGAAAAATAAAAATATTAAGCAAATTAATTTAAAAAACTTACAAATTAAAAAATAATATACAGTATATACTGTATTGTTTTATACAAACAAAAGTCAAATATACAGTATATACAGTAGGTATAAGATATTGGTCATGCAACGATCAGAACAAATTTTATGATATTTATCATCGCATGATCCAATATCGATGTTATCGTGCAATTATGATCATCATTTTGGCTAACTGAGTTTTAATTCGAGATTGTTGTTCTTATGTAATAACGTACAAAAAATAACAAGAAGAAAAAAATCTATGATCATAAGAGTTTGCACGATAACATACAAATAAAATTACAAATCACAGTATAAAACGGAAATCATATTAAAATTGTATCACCGACCAACCCTCTTATTTCAATTCTGTTACACCTTCATTGTCATAATAAGCTGACTAAATGGCTTTAAAAAATGTTATTAGACGTGGGCAACGATGCATTGGTTCAAAGACCGCCGCACATAATCACTAAAACGTGTCAATTTAATCTGATGTAGAAGCCTATTCCTTACAGGATCTAATTTAAACTTTACTTTGTAATTTTATTAAGAATAATAGGTTTTAATGTAGCGTACGTGATGGAATGGTTAATATTATCATGTATCACGTTTCATAACATATTGGGCAATTGGACTATTAAAATTTTCACCTTTATTTTTTCAATAAAAGTTATTATGGATAGTTCTTGCATATTATGTTACTTTGTTTGTGTGCGTATATAGATAAAATCTTATATCGATCTTTGTTAATAATCAAATAAATTGAGCATAGGATCTTCAGATAATTTCCCAACAATTTTGAATTCGTAAGATTTCGAGTTTATTTGATGTATATATATATATGTGAGTTTTTTGATTTTTTTTCTACTTTTTTTTTTTCTTTTTGTTCTATTCGTTTATCGACAGAATGATAATTATTAACGGGGGTATGTTCATTCATAGAGTAGACTCATTATCAACAGAATTGAGGTATAAATTTTTGAATATTTCTTCAACTTCATCTGCTTCGTCCTTGCTTTCCAACTTGAGTTCCTGCCTAAGTGGTGAACGGTGATACGGAATAGTGTGGAATGGATTGCTGTTCAACCCGAAAGTATTGTTAGATAAAGATTTCTGACTTTGAGATGCAGGGATCAAAAAGTCTCGAAGCTTTTTTGACCGGTCGACAATTTCTGCTTCTCCTTTCGATGATTGGTGGATGAAAATATTGTAGGCAGGAACTTTTGTAGAATTAACGTAATCCTCTATACCATCTAATGATGAATAAGTTGAGCTTTGACTGTAATGTTTTGTTCTAGCTTCTGTTACGAACTGATTATCAACAATGGGTGAAGTTAAAGTCTCTTCAATTCCATCGTCAAGACCTTCCATTATGTCAACTTGTTTCATTTCTAACATTCTTTTTGCGTTTTCAATACTTCTTTTCTTTTGCTTTAGAAGTTTTTTCTTTACCCTTTTCTTTCTTCCGTGCTTTCCTGCAACCTTCACTTGTAATTTTTGTCGGTGATGCGTTGATGTTTGTTCATCATCAACATCCATGAACTGGCGCTGATGATTGTATGGGTGTTGACGAACACTGTGCCTTTTAACTCTATTTTTTCCAGTTTTGTAGGATACACTTGACCTTGAAATTATGCGACGTCCAGCATAAACTGACCAATACATTAGGTCTTCCATTCCTTTAATATTTTAAAATTAATTGTATATATTAAATTAATCATAATTCAAAATTTCACGGGCATGTATAATTAAGGTTTAAAAAATGCATGTAGCTAAAATTACCTTCCAAAGCACGCAGTACTGAAACTTCGGTACCAATTCTAAGCCCACCACTGCTCATAATACGTTCAGTTACTTCCTTAGCAATTGGATGCTGTAAATGAACGTAGCCTATAGTGTCATCTCGTTGATAATCAACTGTAACTTTTAAACCATAAGAATCAAACGCTTTCTAATAAATTAAGTAAAACCAGTTTAAATTTCTATAATCAAGAAACACAAAAGAAATCTAATTCTTACCGTTATCATTCCGGAAGTGGTATTTGGATCAAGACCAAGTAACATTATAACTCTGTTAGAAGGCTGCTCACTATTTGAGGCTTGTGCTGAACTGTTAGTAGACTCTTCTGTGTGCGAGGTGGTGCTCGATTCACCATTTTTGGGTGGCCAAGTGTCCATTTCTATCAATTTTTTTAAGTCGTTTGATATGAATATTAATTTGCGGCTGTGAAATAATTTTTTTTTTTTTTTTTTTTAAAAAAAAAAAAAGGTTGCAGCGGTTAAATAACTTGCCGGTCGCTTAGTCGTGACACACAAGCTTTTTATAAAAAATGTGCTTGGTTCGTGCGTAGTGCAGTTAGTGTATTAGCAACGGTATTAAATCAAACAATATTATTATATTCTAAATATGTATTTTATGTACTTTATCGCTTGATTAATAAGTATAGTTTTTTTCATTTTTGGAAATAATCGTTTTATGAGCAATTCTTGAATGTGTGCCGAGTTGGTACAAGCCACAGTAGTACCGATCACTGTTTCTAATATAACCAATCAAAATTACGCTAACATGATCAAATCTTTAATCAATAACACGGGTTTTTAAATGAATAAACTTTACGCACTGCGTACGTAATAAAAATTAGGTTCAATTTTAAATATAAATATATATATATAATTCTTTTTCAGCGGATTCTTTTTCGTTACAATTCAACTAAATCGGTATATTGGTTTACGCCCTTTGATTGTAACACCGTATTCTTTTATATAAAGATTCGTAAAAATGGTATAATGGTATATAGTGAAATTATAATATATATTTACAAATAGATGGTTTAAACAGCACTATATATTTTTATTAAAATATATAATTAAGTAAGATTAGTATATATAATTAAAAATTTTAAAATATTATATATAGTTAGAATTACAGTAGATACTGTAGATTTCAAATGTTAACAAGAAAGTGCACCTCTACAAGTGCACCTCTACAAGTGCACACTCTCCGTAAATGCATCCTAAAGCCTAGTTCCAAACTAGGTTGGCGGCCAAATGGCCAATAACAAAACTTTGACCCAGTCTAATTTGTATAATATTAGCCAATCATATTACTAGTGCAAAAATACCGTTCCTGATGGGATGGGAAAAAATCGATTAGTACCGTTCCTGATAGGGTTCTTAAAGGAACACCGAAGTTAATTTCTCATGACGATGCTATACGAAATGCTAAGTCACGACCCGTGATTAATTCACAATGTTGATTTCAACTTGCCTAAATATTGGCTTTAAGATAATACAGTGCCGTATTTCCATAGGCGTTATTCGAGACACGTAATTTGAAGAGAGCTAATAATTAATTTAGCAAAAGAATCATTAACATTAAAATTATGGTCGTTTTAACCGAATACAACCATAATTTTAATGTTAATGATTCTTTTGCTAATGCTAATTATTAGCTCTAGTGATACGGGCCGACCCTGGCCCAACGGCCGGGTCGACCCTCAGCCACCTTCGTGGGCCGGGTCGGTCGGTATATGGGGAACAGATTAGGAAAACCTGCCTTCGGCATTAGCTGTCAAAGGCAGGTTTTCCTAGTCTATTCCCCATATGAGAAGTGTTAGAATTGATTCTTCTAAAGCATATTTCAGGCTAAAAATTGGCTAGAGGAAATAACGAATATAAAATATGGTAAGGAACGAAAATTTTGGGTATGTTCGGGTGTATAGATAATTAATCAGCATAAAATACTATCCCTTTTATGATAAACTTTTTCAGGCAAATTTGCCTGCAAAAATTTATCTAACCGTTAATGTAATGTGTTTAAGTGATCTAATCAGTCATCAGTTATTAAAACTTTAAATCGGCAGGCATAAATGACATACCCAGTAAAAACTCGTGATTTGACTTACTGGGTTATTTCGCCATGTTAAAGAAAAATAAAGGTGGATCCCAGTTAGAAATAGTTAAAAATGGTATTGGCTTAAGATAGAGACACATTATTATTATGAAATCTCGAAGATCTAAATCTCTATGGTACTAGATTCAGCTAAACCATCTAGCATACAAATTTATACACTAAAATGATTTTTGACATGTTTTTGTACATTTACTCTAAATTTTATTAAGCCACACCCTATTATCTAAGCTAAAATGAAAGCACGCCTTGTTCTCATTACTACAAGTTTCTAACTCTGATAACTTTTCAAAGTTAACTTGTAATACTTTAAACTTTTCAGTGCCACAGATTATCTATATATTTTTGTAATCAATAAAACCTCTACATTAGGATATCATATAATTATAGAGTTTGTGTTTTTATATATACAGTTAAACCTCTTTATAATTACACACTTGGGATACAAAAATGTGTGATTGTAGAGAATTGTGACAGTTATAGTGATCAAATTTATTATATTTAATAGTTGTTTGTTTTTTAAAAATGTGACAACTTAGTATACATATAGTGGTTTAGTCATCATCTTCTCCAAGCAGCAGGTTTAGAGTTTGAATCCCATGGATAATGATTTTGAAAAATAGGCCTATGTTATAGTTGATGGTGTCATAATACTATAGCCTTTTTAGTAATAATATAGCAAAGTAACAAGGTTATTCAGTACAGTAATATACTGTAAATCGCCAGATACAAGGCCCGGGTCTCTTATATTTTACCAATTTTAAATCCTATAATAGACCTGGGTTTAGTATGCAGCCGAGAGTTCATGTCACTAAGAAGAAAACTTTGAAGAGTATGCATGTTTTGCATTTATAATAGACAATCCAGATATTTGAAAAAACCCATATTTGATTAATATAAACCTCATAATATGTATCTGAGTATACTACATGGTGGGTCTACTATCATGGGGAATCTTGTATCTGGCAATTTACGGTACTTTATAAATATATATAAGGTGTATATTTTTACTTTACAATAGAAGGCAAACAGTTCAAATAATAATAGTTTACAGAGATAATAATACTTTATTAATAACAGATTCACAGTAATATTCTTACTATAGGTTTATCTAAAGAAAAAATATTATACTATACAAGTATAAGAAGAGTAATAGAGGTGGTTAGGTAAGGCTAAATTCTTTAAGAGGGTAGAGAACTTCAACCTAATTGATAATCTAGGAGTTAACTAAAGAAAATGATTTACAATCAATAAGTAAATATGATACAAATTAATTAATAAAAAATCTAATTAGAAGAGGTGTGACAACTTAGTGTAGTGGTCTAGTCATCACTCTCTCCAAGTGGCAGGTCTAGAGTTCAAATCCTACGAATAATGAATTTTGAAAAATAGCCTGTGCTTCGGTTTATAGTTGTCAATTATCGGTTGGATTTAGAAATTTGTAATCTCAGTTACACCATCTAGTTATGGAAGCTTTAGTGCAATAAATCCGAGAAACTGGAATAACTGAAAACCCATTTGGCAAGTTCCGAGTTTGGAGGTAGTAGCAATCTATGACAGTACACAGAAGGGCTGAATTCGAACTGGGGCCCGAGATCGGAGAACCGAGTGACCAGGTCCTAATAGCGGAGGACACACTAGCCGAACTGCTGAGTTGTTGCACCAGAGGAAAAGGGCATATGCTCTGAAAGTATGGACCAAGGGGAGGGCATTCTTCAGGCACCTAAAGCTTGGGCAGACCAACCCTTCCGAGTTGCCAGCTGGAAGTAAGAGAGGGACCGATAAAGAATCCGGGTAAGAAGGCAGTCTAAATGCAGGATACTGGAGTTGTTAGGAACCAAAACAAAGACAAAGAGTACGTAATAGATATCTAGTTAGAAAGGTTGGTGCTTGAGAAATGTCCATAGAATGGCAGTACCCCAAAAAGGTGGCATGAGATACAAATACAGAACGGCAGGTTAATATATACTAATTAAAAAGAAGTTATAGAAACAAGCATATGAATACATATGTAAGACATGTACTGCTATGTTAGGTTTATCTTGAGGATAGTTAAGTGTTCTAAGGTAGGGTGCAAAATCCACATTGGGTAATACCAAAATCTAGTGTATGAATAGTGAGGAAACCCACTTGGGTTAAAGGGCAAATGGAGGTAGTTAGAACCAGATAGTTTAAATGAGTATCCCTCTAGTTGGGGTGCAGGTATGGCAGATAGTGTAGAACCTTTAGGTGGACTACTTAAATAGGCACTCAAAAGGTACACATGTGGCTTGATGTACTATTATTGTAATTACATATAAAACTTCGTCTATACTCTAATAAAAAGTTCCTCAGACCAAAAAAATCACCTTAATACCAAAAAAAAAATAATAAAAAAAAATAATAAAAAACCTAATAAGAAATATGAAAAATTTATACTACAGTGTGTATTTATTTTTTTTTTGAACATAAATATATATTTTCTAAACCACTTATAAATTTACAATTCTTTAACTCTTACTAACTTTTATAAAACTTACTTATTCACTAATTTACTTTTCTAGTTTAATTATTTATACTAGTTAGAGCTCACTTGTTTACTAGTTAAATTCTACCAAGTTTTACAAAAACAATCTAGTTTAGATTCAGATCCCTACTTACTAATTTAGATCTCATAAATCTTATACAAACAACTACTAGTTTAGATTCAAATCCAATACAAACCACCTATCCCTTAAATTGTAACACAGGCAAATTTGCCTGTGTTTTTATTAAAAAGTTTAATTTTTTTAATAAAAACTTA